AAAGAGATACAGTTCTGTGATTATAAAATATGTAAGAATTAGGTGTTATGTAGGCATCATTTGGTTTCATTAAAAACATTTCTTTGGGGGAAAAAAGTCTAAAAAATTGACCTTAATGAGTATGAATTTACATAATTTTAGACAAACACAAAATACCAAATTAGAATTTAAAAAGCATCTTTTGTAAGCCTCTATGATAATTTTTATTTTTATTTTTTCCTGGAAGTGACTAATTATTGATTCACTAAAAGGTAACTAGAAAAATGACCAATTATTAAAGCTTACTATTAATACTTCTCTGGCCTTTTCAAATCCCTTTGAACAATAGTTTTATATAGATATTTATATGGAGAATGTCATATTATATTTCTCTAAATTGTTAAGAAAATTCCCAGTTGAAAGAAAAATGTTTATTTGAAAGTTAATTTACCAGAAAAGGTAGCATGCAAGTCCTCTCTAGAGTAAACTATTTCAACAGCATTTTGTTACATTTTAATAGCTTTGTCAAGAATTTCGATGAAGATGTAGAAAACATGAATATAAAATTTTCAGCTAAGGCAAATTAAGAAGGAAAAATGTCAGAATATAGGATTCACAACCAATATAATGTAATGTACTAAAGCTAATAAATTTTTGGATTTATGTGCCTTCTCTCTCATACCTCCATTTATTTTTTCGACTATAGGATAGAGCGGGGCATTGCTTAATGGCAATTCATTTGAGATATTCTATATTTTATAAACTCAGGATGAGCCATTATGTGACATAGTTGCCCCACAATGTAACATAGACTTAGAATTAGCAGATCCTGTCCTTAGTGAAGAACATGATGATATTCATTTTTTTATTCCTGCTCTGTATGCTTAGTCTGTGACAGGCATGTGGTGAATTCTGTTGAATTGGGAAAGTTGCTGAGATGATGAGGGGGCCTAAAATCATATCAAGGATTTTATAGGCAACTAATTGTGTTTAGCATGAAGAAAACAAGATTGGGCTAACAAATCATCCCACTTTTATATTTAGTGTTTGAATGTCTGTCTTAGGAACATCTAGAGTAGCCTAGTGGGTGGAAGTTATAGAGACACAGATTTTATCTAAGTGTAAGAAAACAAAATAGAAGCTTCTGACTGTAGAGCAAGCTGCTGCTGCCTCTGAGAAAATTCAGCCTTTCATTGGGGCTGTCATAGAAAGGGGTATGACAGCTGGGTGGATGGTGGGATATGGGTTAGGCTGTTTTAGTTCTCTAATTTTAGAATTATTTCTGTGAATTATTTAGCAAAATAAATTTACTGATAAGTAAAATATTTAGTCACACTGAATCCCTTTTTATGTAAGACTCAGATTACCATAAAATATAGTTTTCGTCTCGAACAAAATTTCGCTTTTGTGATGATTACTTTTGTGAGGAAGTAATATAATTGCCAAAGTTGCTTCCTTCCAACTTGTTCTCTACACTTTATTCAGAGTAGTAATTACCAAATACTAATCTCTTCATACCACCTCCCTGCTTAGAAACTCAATCACTCTGCATTGATTTTAGGATTAAGGTATATATTTTTAACATGACCTATGAAATCCAGCAAGGTCTACCCTTACCTGCTTCTTCAGTTTTATGTGGTTTCACCCTCTATTTCAAAGCCAACCACATTGATCTACTATTAATTTCTCATACGTACACCATGCTCCCATTTGATACATATCATTTCTCATGCTGGTTTTTTCTATATGAATGGCCTTCTCATTCCTAGATAATTTCTACTTTCACCCTCCAGATCTCAGTTCACTTTTCACTTAATCAAGGAAGACTTCCTGACCTTATTTAGATCTCATGTCTTGTTACACATGCTCATACTCTGTATTCTTATTTAAAGCAATGGTCACTTTTATATTTGATTACATAAATATTTGATTTAATATTTCTTACCCCTACTAAAATATAAGCATCCTAAGGCAAAAGACATTTTCTGTTTTTAGTTCACTCTTGAACTCCTGATGCCTTGTAATATGTACATATCACAATAAATGTGTATTGAATAAATAAATGTAAGTGGAACACTTCGAAGAGACCATTTAGAGAAAGGAAGGGATACAGTAACCCTAAGGCAATAAGTTAATTTTATATAGTGCTTGATTTTTTTAGACTTTTTTCACAAAGTTCTAAGAGCTAGAAATATTACATAATATTATTATATTACATTTACTATGTCATATCATATTATATATTTTACAATAATGACATTTTATTTCTCTCAACTTTACAGATAAAGGCAGTTAACTCACTCAAGATTAATAGTTAATAAGTGGCAGATTTAAGATAAGAAACCGTGGATTGAGATTTTAGGAAAATAACCATCCACTTTATATGCCTAGATGCTATATTTTATAAGGTGCTTCAAATAGCATATTTTCTTATAATTTTCTATAGTCCTGTCTTAGTTCTGCTGCTATAACAATAATGTCATAGACAAACATTTATTTTTCACGGTTCTGGAGGCTGGCAAGTCCAAGATCAATGCCAGCAGTTTTGGTGTCCGGTGAGGGCCCTTTTCCTGGTTTGCAGCTGGCCACTGAGTTGCTGTATCCTTACATGGAGAAGAGAGGGAGCTCTGGTTTCTTCCTCTTCTTATAAGTGTGTTACTTATATCATGGCTCTACCCTCAAGATCTTACTTAAACCTAATTATCTCCCGAAGGCTCTTCCAAATACCATCATATTAGGTTTCAACATATGGATTTTGAGGGGGGGACACAAATATTTCATCTATAGTAAGGATTAAGCTATGTTTTATTTATACCTTTCTATCTAAAATATATAGTTTTAAAAATTACATATGGAACCCTCAGTTTATGTTTTCTAAACTTTGACAAGTAGGATTTGAAATGTGAAAGTAACACTGCCATCTAGTGACAATGAACCTAAATGAAATTTGAAAACTGGACTAACAGGTTAAGCTCCCTGGGAATGGTAAAACAAGTTATTCACATAGTCACCACTGTCCAGGAATATAACTTAGGGCATTCATTTCCTTTTGGTGAACATTTGAGCCAGCTGATTATTACAAAGGTGTGAATGAATAATGACTAAATGAAACAAATGCTTTTGTCTGTGGAATATTACTCATGTAATAAGGTTGTGCCACTTGACTAGAATCCATCTCCATTTTCCTCACTCTATTCACTGTTTCTGAATGAGGGAATTTGTATGCTTGATAACCTAATAAAAAGTTTTCATCTTAGTTTAGTTTAAAGAATTAAGTATATTCAGCAACAAGCATATATGAGGAAATGAGTCCTTGGTAAAATTTTCAGCTAGATTTTTGCAGCATCATAAGAAAGATGTGGAATGCCAAAATAAACTTCATTTATCCCAAGGGGACACTTAAAGCCACTTTGTATTAAATTACTCTGTGATTTAATGTAAATACCACACTAAAACAGTCCAGACATGCAAGCAAACAAAAAAGGTTAGAAAATAAAGTATAAGAATTTTCTTTAAAGTATTGAACCACATAGGAAATTTGGATATCATTTGTATTTTTTAAGTCTTAAATTTAATATGATAGATTTAAGCTAATATATTTTAAATGAATTATTGTCCTGGTACATTAAAATTGCAGATAAAAGTATCATCTAAAATCATTCGAGTTCAAATTTTCTTACTGAATGCAGAATGCAAGATCAAAAGAGATAACAATTATTCTATTTTTCCTGGAAGACTAAACAACAAAAACCTACCATTTTCAAATAGTAAAAATTTTTCTGATTTAGGTGATAAAATTACATTTAACATTTTTTTAAAGATCGCCCAGAGAGGATTATTTCTATTTGTCTGGTTACTGGTATAGTCAATGAACTGTCTCCCTAAAGTGCTCTAACTCATGGTGTAGAAATGACCTGACTGGAAATATTAACTACTTTTTATATAAGTCAATGAAAATTATTGCTTTTTTCATACTACTTATTACCTTGTCTCCCCTTCAGGAACAATATTTTATAATCTGACAGTAAACACTGTGTAACAGTTGCTATTTTGCCAAGAATTGAGTTGGAAATATCAGGGGCATGAAACATTTCAAGATAAGCAAAGCATCTGACTTACACACATTTCTTAGCTAATATCCTTAAAATAGTAGTTTTATGTTCATTTCAGGACAAGTGTACAGGCATGACCCCACCTCTTGTTTTTTTTTTGTGTGTTAAACTATTCATGTAAAGAATGTGGATAGTACCAGATGATAGCAGATGACAATCTAGCAGGAGTTTGATCAAAATTAGTTGCCAATTATTGCATAATTACCAAAGGGGACTGATGCTTTGAAAAATACGTTGTAAAATGTGGTTATGATTAGTTTTGAACAAGGCACCGCTGATGTGGGATCTCTTCTAGTTTGCAGTCAGGGACTCATGCTAGAGCAGTTGTGCTTAAGATGAAACCTGAAAGATGGGTAGAGTTAGTAAGGTCTGAAGAGCTTAAAGGCAGATGGTAGTGTGTGGAAGGAGGCGTGCAGAGGCTCAGAGGGTTCTAGAGAGAGAATGTCAACTGTAGTTGAAAAAAAATTTCTAAATAAAGGGAGAGAACGCAAATGAATTTTGTTTAAAATTCTTGGTTCCTTATCTGTGAACAAAGGATTCAATACTACACCAGTGTGGAAGTGCAGTGTGAACCGAGCGAGGGTTTCTCAGGCTCTTGATACCCAGAATAGCATGGTGGGGGTGGGACAAGAAATTGATCTTGTGCTAGAAGAATTGTACTCAGGTTATAACACTATAACACTAGTAGAAAGGAGAGGTGACTACGTTTTATGGCAGTGCAGAACAGAAAGAGACCAGTTTCTCTTAAAGGTTTTTGGTGAGAGGAAAGTGGAGGATAATTCAAGACTATTGAAGGAGTTGGCATTTGCCATGATTTTTAAAGAAGGAGCAGGGAGAGGTCTGCAGCATGTTTGTAGTTTACTTTTGTCCTTGACTGTGTTTTGACCCTTGTTTTATTCGTTCAGCTAGGATTGTGTCTAAGCAGAGCCTCTGCTTCTGTTCTTAACCTCAACTGCAGCCTTATCCTTTTACCCATGTGCCGGACACTCCTGGCTTACCTTCGAGGATCCCAGAAGGTAAGAAAAAAAATCCTAGTCACAGGTTGCAGCATAAGAATCAAGTGTTACAGTGGCATGCTAGTCCTACATTAGTTTTCATGGTCTGACTTTCTGCTAGAGCGATTCTTTCAAAGATGACAATAAAGACTATGTCACCTGTCAAAATGATGAGTGAGCTATTTTAGATAACAACATTAGATAAGAGCAGAAGATAATAGGAAAAAGTTATTAATAGCAATATCAAGCACTCCGCTAAGCACTTCACATATATAATTGTGAATCCTCATGATGATTCTGCAGTCAGGTATTGCAGATGAAGAACTGGAAGCGTGGAGAGTTTAAGTAACTTGACGAAGATTATGAGACTAGTGAATGGCAGAGCTAAGACCAGTCCCAGTTCTGAGTTCTTTCCACTCTATCATGCCTCATTGAGGTCCTGTGTTTCATTTAGTTAAATGTAGGTAAGCAAACTCAAGCCCTGTGGCCTTTGAGCAACACAAAGAACGACTACTGGTGTTTATGGCAATTCATCTCTTCTTAAAACACTATTTTAAGCTGTGTAATAGGCTTGGAAGGGATGTCTTAATTAAATAGTGATGTCATGTGTGATATTTAGTGTTGTAAAATGAAGGATAGAAGACAACAGAAAAGTACTTTGAAAGTTAAAACTCAACTGAAATTCTTTTATCTTTAATTCTCTCTGTCTCTGTCTCTGTCTCTCTCTCTCTCTGTCTCTCTGTCACTAAGATAGTAAGGCAGTGCTGGATAGATATTGATATTTTAAAATGATGTTCTGTGAAGTTCATATGAGTGGATTTACTATGGCAAAACTTCTCAATCTTTTTACATAATTGTATTTGGAAACTACTTTAATGCAGTAATTTGTGGAAATAACTCTTTCTCTTGGTTGCCTACCATTGTAAAATGCTAGGTTTTGACCCCTGTGGCTGGCCATTGGCTTGGCATGAAGAAAGAAAAGGCAGGAAATGAAAAGTACCCACCTAAGTCTCTCAGTATTTAATAAGTCTTTAAGAATTGTCCCTCAGTGTGAAACCTAGGTATTCAAAGATGCTTGACATTTTATTTTTCTATAAGATTAAGCAGGCATTTAAAACTATAAATAAAATTGCTTCATTAAAAAAAAAATCTTATGTTTTTGACTATAAAAAGAAATCATATCTATAGTAAAATTCAGACATTCCAGAAATTTGCAAACTAATCGGCAAAAGTTTCCCCTAATACTGCTCTGCCGGAGCAACTGCTGATTACACTTTGGGGTAAATGCCTGCAGATATGTTAACATGTAATTCCATTAATTTTAAACAGTATAGAATCATAGTGTAGTTTATGTTTTATAACTTTTTTTTACCTAACAATATATCTCACACATCTTTCCATATCAATAATAAGTCTTCTCAATTCTCTGTAGTGGTTTGAATGTTCCATTGACTAGACATAATTCATCTCACCAATTTTTAATTGATAGGCCTCTGCCATATTTCTAAAACTTTGATATTATAAACAATGCTATAGTGAAAAACTTTGTACATATATTTCATTTGCTGCATCATCTTTACCATATTAAATAATTTTTATTTAGGTTCCAAGCAGGAGAACCAGAAGATTGTTGGATAAAAGCAGAACATTCCACATAACCTGTGGTGTCACTATCTGTATTTTCTCAGGTGAGAAAACCAAAAGGCGTTAAGTGTTGTGTTATGATAACACACTTTTATGAATGGTAATTTTATTGTCCTATAAATTATTTACTGTCACTGACTTGTGATTTTCTTATTATATTAGCTTAATTTTCTCTCCCTTGTGTTTAAAGAGAGCTGCTTGTAGAGCTACAGAAAATGGGTGTGTCTTATGCATTATGTATATATATATTTTTACATAATAATGTGCAAAGTGACAGTGATTGTTTCCTAAAAGTAATTAATTTCATTCAGAAAGATTGGAAGAAGCAGATTTAAAGTTTTTAAGCTTTAAAAGTAATGATATGATAGGAGTTTAAATGCATCAAAATTAGAATGCAAAATATATATTCATAGACTATAATTCCACCCAAAATTATATTTAATAAATGTTTCTTTGATATTAATACTTGGATAGAAGAGCAAATGTCAAAAATTTGTGAAAATTTATCTTGCTTAATTTCAAATTAAAATATGAAGTGAGATTCTTGGTTTTTAAGAGTCATTTTAAAATAAATTTTTATCATGAGCATTTTTATGATATTTTTCAAATTTCTGAACCAGAAAGTAATAAACATATTGATTAAGTACATAGAATCTGGAGATGGGTTGTATAGGATCTATCTCCAGCTGCCCTTCTGCCTTACTGTATGACATACCTTTCTGATCTTTAGTTTGTTGTTTTTTTAACGATAAAATGAATGAACAATAGCACCTATCTCATAGTTTTAAGTCTAAAATGAGAACATGCATATGAAGTTCTGAGGATAGAATTAGTTATAAGTTTATAGTAATTACATAATATTACAATCTAAGGGGTTAATTATTTCAGTGACATAGCACCTGACATTTTCATCTGGTCATTATTTGACAGGACGTAGCTGTTTTGATACTAGTGATACTTGGACTGGATATTTATATATAGCTATTTTGTATCAAGTGTTTTTGATACATCTATACCAAGAAATTATTAGACTTTTAGCTTTTTAAAGATTGCCAAGTATCGTTGAAACAGGCATCTTCACTGTTTTATCCCTAAACATCTTCCCATTGGTAATTTCCATTTATGGAGGTGAGAGACAAGGGGAGAGGTTGAGGGATGGGATTAGAGCTCCAATACAGCTCAAGGCTAGGGATGCAGTAAGAGTCCAGGATGAGATGAGTACCAAGGTTGTGATAAGGGTTAGGGATGGATTAGCATTAGGGAGGGTGAGAGGTCAGAAATGAAAGAGAATTACAGAACATTGGCACATTCATAACTTGATTTGTTCTAAACTGTGCTTGTGTCCAGATATTCTGGTTCAGTTGGAGAACAACCAAGAGAGTGAGATAATGTAGAGTATTGCCACGAATGAGCATGTGTTCCAGAGGGTCTGCATTCTGACACTTATTAGTGCTCTGATATCAGCTAAGTTACCTTTATGTCCTTAGTTATCTTATCTGTAAAATAGGGATGATTCTACCTACTTCATTATTGTTTTGTGAGAATTATATGAGGATATCCTTGTAAAGCGCCTGGTATAGCTTCTTGCTGTCTAACATAAGAAGCTCTGAATTCTTTTCACCCTAAAGAGCCTTTCAAAGAAGGTGAATGCATTCCTTAAAGAAGCATTTCATACAGCTTTTATCTAGGACTTTTTTTTTTCAGGAGAATTCAGAAAGGGTGGCAATTCCTCTAAGGATATTTTTGCATTTTTGAGCCGTAAGACATATAGTTAACATATAAACTACTGATTTAAAAAGGGGTATTTTTTTTCAAACTATAGATTTCATTAAGTGATGAAGCTATAGGACATAGACAGTTTTATTTATATAATGTTTTATACCCACGCCATAGTTGAGTCTCACCTAGACACCCTTTGTTTTATTTCTTTGGAACCCTGTCCTTTCTTGTTAGTTAACCCATTTCCAGCTTCCTGTTTACTTCTCATGAGACACTTTCCTTCCTCATCATTTGATTGCTGGCAGAGTTTACAAATTCTTTAAATAACTTTTAGGTTAGTGTTCTAGTCCTTCTCTCTCATTTTCATTTGTCTTTGTGAGTAGTTCAGATCTCTCAGCCCATCTATATCTCCTATGCTAGGTTGGAGGGGATTGTAGAGTTTCCTAGTTTCCAGGCCATATCTTCTTTTGAATCAGCACACCCCATATGTTGGTGTAAATTGTAAATATTTAGAAGGCAATTTGGGGTCACTTAGCTCATTAAGTCTCTTATTTCTGTCATCATTTTATAGGGAAATAAACTGAGGTGTTGGTAGGCAAGCAATACAATGGCCAAGATACCAGATTTTCTAACTAATTTTCTGTTTTTCTCTTATACATTATCATTTGCTGTTACTTCAAACCTTATTTCACCTACAAGAAAAAGTTGAGAGGGGGGGAGGGCGTAATAGTCCAATGTGCAAGATCATTTGTTCCTTCCTTATCTAATCTCCTCAAGAAAATTTTATTTATTTTGTTCTTTAGATTCCACATGTAAGTTAAATCATATGGTATTTGTCTTTCTCTGTCTGACTAATTTCACTTAAGATAATTTTCTTTTACTCTGGCCATGCCAAAACTATTTTGTCTTCAATTCTTTAGTAATTTCCTAACACTTTTATCTTTTGTCTGAGTTTCGAGTCAGTTGAGCACTCTGTTTATTGTGCCATTGTAGATGGATTATTAAATGATGATGATTATTTTCTTGAGTTTTTGTCCCCTGAAGTGGTTACTAACACTTCTACTATTGGGTTTAGGACACTATGGTTTGAATTCATGAACTAAAAAGTTTCAACTACTTCAAAGCCTTTCAGCGGGCCAAGGTTGAGTGGCAGTGAGATATATAAGACATACAAGATTTGGAGTTATGGGAGAGGTGAAAGGTATGGAACATCCAAAATATCCAGGAGCTGCTTAAATAAATAAATATATACACACATGCCAATATAATTACATACTTGCATGTGAATGTGTGTGCACACACACGTGTAACTTTTTCTAACTCTGACTTTCTAGGATTATTTTATTCTTGCCTTTGAAAATGTGGTTTCTTTACATAATTGTGTGTACTAAAACTGTCTATAATCAAAATTTTTGTGTCTTTAAAACTTTCTTTTTAAATTTAGTATCTTATTGCTCATATAGCTGTCAAAAGTTGGTTCCTGTATTTATTTAAGGAGAGGAACTGACTCCTCTTTATAGAGCATCTTTGAATACCCTGCTGACTTGCACCTGCTGTGGTTCTGCAGGTGTGCATGTGGCTGCCCATCTAGTGAATGCCCTCAACTTCTCGGTGAACTACAGTGAGGATTTCATTGAACTGAATGCAGCAAGATACCGAAATGAGGTGGGTGGTCTCTTTCTCCTCGCTTTCCTTTCACTTGTCGCGAGATGACTAATGAGGGTCTGTAATTTTCACAGAAAATTTGTACCTTGCTGCTCCTTTTGAGTGCTTTTAAAATGCAGTTGTCAAGTTGAGTTTTATTCCTTTTTAATAGGAAATATAGGTAATTACTATT